TGTGTGTGTGTGTGTGTGTGTGTGTGTTGGTTTGGTTTTTGTAAGTTTACTTTAGTTTTTGAAACAAAAAAAAAAACAAAGTTGGTTGGGAAGGGAGGTGGGGAGAAACTTGAGAGAGGAAAAAGAATATGATCGAAATACAAATATATTGTATACAAATTTTTAAAAAGTAAAATAACTTTTAAGTAATAAAAAAGACCTACAGACTAAAGTGGAGAGCAAATGAAGAAGATGCCGAACTCAACCTCTAGGCTCCACAAGCAGTGACCTACGGAGCCAAGTCTAGCCTGGAACCTTTTATGCCTTCACATGAAGATCCTTCTTCTCTACTTCACGAGTTGCTGGGAGTATAGGCAGCCGCCACCATGGCCAGCTTTCTTCAGAGTCTATCTAAAACCACTTAATTAGCTGTAGTGCCAACTTTAAACTGAAACATTTCACATCACAAAATAATTCCAGTCCCGTTGTTTCACGGGGGAAGAAGCCATCCCCAAATTCTCTCTAATTTGTCGTTGCATGCCAGGAAGACAAGAATTGACAATAAGGGTAAACTTCCAAAGTATCAGGTGACAATGACATTGTCCAGCTGAAGCTCACTCACCGAAACTTCTCTGTGCTCAAGTGACTTTACTCCATCAAGGAACAGGAGCCAAGAGAACCAACATACCTCTTTTAGGAAGACTAAGCAAGGTCTGAGTACATGAGGTAGGATAAACATCCATCCATGTCACGAGCAGCCGGAGCACCCGCTTTTCCACTAAAGGGATTGTTAATGTTTCTTAAGTCCTGAGTTATAGAGGAGTAAAATTATCTGTCAACTTAAAAGGCAGGGAAAATGCCCCCAGTATGTTGATGGCTACAGTTACATTAACTAGAAAGTTGGATGTAAATTAAAAAAAAGACATAATGGAATTCAAAAGGGCTCAAAAAAGAGCTCACAGTAAGAGGGGAATAAGACTTACCTCTGAGCAGCAGCTCATAGAACTGGGGTTCGATTGCGCCGACAGCCATGAACTCTCCGTCTGCTGTCTTGTAGGTGGTGTAGAAAGGTGCCCCGCCATCTAACATGTTTTGTCCACGAGGCTGTCCCCACAGCCACGTGTGCTGAGTCTTCCACAGGAAAGAACTTAAGTACGCGGTTCCTTCCACCTTTGAAGAAAGAAGACACTTTACGGATGCAGGTGCTTAAGTCCGTATAAAGGAAGGATTATTTAGGGCGTTTACTATTTATGTAACTGCCTATTTTAAGAGGCATGACAATTATGTCTAACCATACAATGTCTTTGATATTTCTGCAAACGAAGGTAGAGCGGGTTGATGGGAAAATGCTGTTGGTACACTAAATTGGGGAAATCTTGTAAGATTTAAAGGAACTACATTTGTATTCCTTTCAAATACTGCCAAAGTGTTGAGGATTTCTGAAGTAACAGCGCACAGACACTCCCTGAATTATTATCTCTACTTTTGTTTGTGTGTGAGTACATGGAGGTCAGAGGTCAATGTCAGGTACCTTTTTCTCAGTTGCTTCCTGACAGTCTCCCACTGAACCTGGAAATCACCCAATCTAGATTGGCGAGCCAGGAAACCCCAGGGATCTCCTGCCTCTGCCTCCCCAGTGCTGGGATCACAGGTCATGCTTT